GGGGTTTCAAGGCATCAAGTTATTAGGAAATTTCCCCTCTGGGAAATTACAGGGTTTTTTCCCGACTAACAACATGACTGCATGGAATCGTTTATTCAGTACTTCTTAGGTTTATTTGGTTTCCCACAGAGCCTTCTCTAAAGGCGAGGACAGACGGTGCAACATTGCACGCAACAAATTTGAATCGGGGTGACACACGTTGCAATAAAATCACGCAACATCCCTTGTGTCAGCATGATATGCTAAGAAATTTGGACAGCGATTATAAATTTAGTGCAAGCTGATTGGCTGGAAATTTTAATATGTTGCACGCAGTGTTGCAGCCCTGTTCACAGGAAGAAATTTCTTGCGCGCAGTGTTGCAAGAGTAGAGCGCGATTCAACTTCAGATTTGTTACATGCAATGTTGCATGCAACAAGTTTCAGGGTTAGACACACACTGCAACAGTCCTGTTGCATGCAATGTTGTGTGCAATGTTGCACCGTGTATCCTTACCATAAGGGTGCTTGAGCTCAGGCGATTGTACATGAATGTGAACTGCAAATGAATATTACCATAATCATAGCCACAATCTAACCGTTATAATTTAACCGGCTCTGTGGGTTGGGGACCGGTCTGTTGTGCATGACGCTCAGAGTCTAAAACAATCTGACTAGAAGGTTCTGCATTTGCTTGCAAATTCTTATACCTTCGCCATGTACCGGAGTATGACAAGCACAAAGAGGCCATGTTGGGGTTTTAGGATTATGGATTAAGAGTTTTTAGAGAAGAGAAACAGATTATAGACCTATCCCGAATTCGCTTGACTGACCACGAAACAATGGTTTGAAGTCGAAACTGAACTTGATTCTTTTATTTATCAAGTGCAACCTCGACTTGAAACCATTGTTTCGTGACCAGTCAAGCGAATTCGGGATAGGTCAATTGGCCACTAAATTTATGGATTATTGATTACTTGTATTGCATTTTTAAATTACGGATTTTTTTAGGTCATTAATTTAGAGATGCACTGGTTTATAAAACTGGAATACAGATTGTTTCTAAAGAAATTTCCAGGGTTATGCATTTTTCAGGCCCCCTTCCTCTCTCCCGCTAACAAAACCGTAAAATGGCGGTTCCATCTCATTTGGTGACGTTATCACAAACAGCACAACCATTACGACAATCTCTTCAATCCTACATTTGACTCATATCGCCTCTCTCTCTTTTTTATTACCACGATACAATGTTTTTTTAGATGAAAGATTGTAGCCGTGGTTTCTATGGCAGCACGTGTCGGCCGTGCCCAGGACCAATAGGAAAGCCATGTAATCTGCATGGAAGGGTACGTTTTTCTCTCATCAGATGAGCAGGAAAGACCCCTTGACAGGACCATGACAGGAGGCAGGAACAATTGATTCTGGTCTATTGTGATTTACATCAGAAAGGATTCAGTTACCCAGGGAGAAAAGACTCTATTGTTATGCCCCCTGTCATGGCTGCCATCACGTGATGGTGCAAAGCCTCTATAGAAGTGAGCGTTAAACGACAAAAGTTGTTTTGGCTGATTGTTATTTGAATTGCCAACCAGAAATCTATTGGACAATACAACAAAGCAAAGGGACAAAACCTTGATTAAAATGGCTGACACATTTACATTACAATGGCAATGTTTATGAACATCATGTCCAGCTATTAGAAGTTGTCAAGGCCACATGGCAAATAAGAAAACAGTACATATTTGCTATGTATGCAATATGGTGGAAGATACCCACTTGAATAATGCGCACAGCTTGTGGACAAATGCGGCATTGAAATTTCGTTATTAAATAGTCCTTCTTGACTGCAATCAAATATTTTTAATCTTGCCCAGCCAAACAATCCATGGATGCTTTGCAGTGAAACTCTTTCTCGTTTAATCTCCCCCACTATTATTTCTCATTTCAGTGTGAAGATAAGATGGCAGGAAATGGAATGTGTACCTGTCAGTCGTCATTCATCGGTACAGCCTGTGAACAATGTGCCAATATTAAGATGTTCGGACCGTCGTGTAACGATAGTGAGTACAAATTGAACATCATACAGTTTATTTTTTAGTTGGTTTAAGCTACGATTGGGTGGAAGGAAAACTCTGGACTCAAGGGTGTCGGAAACCCAATAGATCCCTTGCATTGATTTCCGAGAGGAATTGTTCTAGGGGACAAAACAATAGGCCATCTTTTTTTATGCACAAAAATCCATTGTTTTGTTTCCCAGAACAACTCCTCTTGGGACTCAGTGCAAGGGGTCTATAGACTTTTGTTTACAGTAATCGAATCTGAGACCCCAGAGGTGAGAGGCACTACTGCCACAGCACCTTTAATTATCTTAATAGAGACGTTTTGAATGGACATACGTGCTATAAATCCATTGACTTGACAGTCTATTGTCACTCTATAGCATGCACCTGTGTACATGGATTGTGTGACAGTGGTATAAATCCATTGACTTGACAGTCTATTATCACTCTATAGCATGCACCTGTGTACATGGATTGTGTGACAGTGATATAAATCCATTGACTTGACAATCTATTATCACTCTATAGCAT